GTGGCAGGGCTGTTACTCTTGGGTTTCCTTGCCCACAACTCCTTTTCTCCCTCACTCCTTGGCCCTCTCAGTGTTCAGCATCACCTTCACTCCCGTGTTTGTGACGTTTCAGACACGATAGCCTGGGCAGTAATTCTTCCTCCTTGGAACTACATGCTCCGTGGCCCTCAGGCAATGCAATATCCATGATTTGTGGGCTGCTGACTGAAGCAGCTTTTATAAATGGTTCACAGCATGGTTCTGCTCTGCCAAATGACTTGACTTCATCCTTTTCAGGACATTAATCTTGGTATCTTGCTCACAACCTCCTTCAGCCAGTGCCAAAGTCACCTTCTTGAGGGCTCAGCACTTTGTTCCTCTTCTCTGCCAGTTCTGTGCTTGATGGGCCCTACCCAGGGATGTTCCCACATACTGATCCCTCTCCATCCTGCTCACACTCACTCCATTGTCCATTGTCCAAGTTTCCAATTCCTGCATTAATATAGATCACTTTGTTTTGGTACACAGTTAGATACGGGCTCATCCAGACTGACTTACATGCCTGTAAATATATATTTATATATATATATATATGTGGGTGTGTGCATGTCTTAGAGGTTGATTATTAATGTTTGGGGGAAAAAAAATGATCTTGGGCACCAGGAGCTTCTTTATACCATTGACAGCATCAGTGCAACCTTACAGTAAATTATTGTGCCCAAGAGAATAGCCCAGGCAGCAGAGGATAAAGCTGTCATTAAACATCCATGTGGGAGCTGGAGACAGGGCACTGGGTGCACGGGCAGGGACAGGGCAGTTCTGGCACTTGCAGGGACAGATCTGGTGTGTTGGCAAGGCCAGTGACAGCTGGAGGTGGTTGGAATTGATTTTTTAATCAATGGGGGTGGAAAATGGGATTGGGGACCTCAGTTCCTTTACTGCTGGAAGTGGCATGGAATAACTGATGCTTTGGCCCATGGTTTTTAGAGGACAGTTACATGCTGAAGATAACTCTGAATACTCTCAATATCCAGCTAAACAGCCATGACTTAATTAAACCTCATTATTTACTGGAGTTCAGTGTCCTCCTTTGGCATTGAGTTCCAGAGTTCAACCAACCATTATCATTGATTTTGGGTTTCCCACTATTTCATGTCACTGAACATCTCTTTTCCTGCATTAAGAGGTATAAGGGAGCTGGAGGATATTTAGGAGCAAAGGATAGGCAAATAATTTGAAAATCCCAGACAAACTTTTTACTTAGTTTTGTCATTGCTGTTTTGATAGAGGAACATTAAAGAGAAATGTCATGTTCTGAAATTCTCCCAGTGAAGCATTTTCATGTTTTGCTTCATAAGAGGATTCATAGTCCCTCTGTGTTGTCCTGAGCAGAATAAGGAAAAAAAAAGCTTGAGGGGAAAGAGTTAAAAAAACTGAAAAAAGCCCCAACTTTTCACTTGAGAATTAATTAAACATTTCAGTCCTAACACTTTGTAAAGAATAATTTTTTTTTTTCCTAGTGAAAAATCTGAATATTTTTCTTTTTTTCACTGAGCTGTGGTTTTCCAGGTTAAGCTGGAAATACCCCTGCTGTGCAGGACTCCAGCCTGAAGTTCCTGGTGTCCCTGTTCTGCACCATTCATTATTTTGCACGTGTACACTGGGACAGGGGAATTGGGCTGGCCCAGTGCCAGTGGAGCTGCTGTCAGCAGAACACTCTGAACACCTTGTGCTGATGCTGAACAAACACAGCCTCTCTTTAAAGCCCTTCAAAGGAGGTGGAAGCCTTGAAGTGGTTAAGCCCGGCCCTGTCCTCCCCTTCCTTCCCCCCCCTTGGCTCAGTAGATGAAGGCAATCGGTGCCTACAAGGGTTGGGATGAGCATCTCCAGAGGCAGCTTGGAGCTCAGCTCAGCCCCAGCATCCCCTGGCTGGGCTGGAGGAGGGTGTTCAGGTCACCTTCACCTGCCTCCAGCAATCCCCAGCCAGGGGGAAATGCAATTAAAATGAAATAACTGGGGTGGGTGGAGCAGTGTGGTGTCCACTGATGGAAATGTGGAGAGCAGGCCTGGCTTTAATGGATATGGATCAGGCACCAGCTCCCCAGGCTGCTGTCATCCTGGGGGATGTGCTGCCTCTTCATTTGCAAGGCATCTGCCCCATCCTGTACAGCCCAATGTTCTCCTGGACAAACTCTCTTTAACTTCCCTGGGGACTTTTCCCGCTGAACTTGGCTTGCCAAAGGTCATCTGGTGCCTCAGAGTCTCCTTTTTGCTGAGTTTCCTCTCCATTTCCATTTCAGGTCAGCACTGGGTTCCCCACTGATTCTAATTATTCGTTGTAAGGCTGGGACTAGAGCTGGGCACAAAATTAGGAGACCTGTAATTTGCTGCTATTTCAGTCCAACCCCTTTGTTTCATGCCAAGACAGCAGTTCTTCAAATCTTCCTCAGCAGAACGAAGAGCAGTGACAGTCCCTCAGATAAAGAACTGCAGAGCTGGCCTGAGTTGGACACATCCAGCCTGGAGCTGGTCCGTGGCTCATCCCTGCTGGGTTGGGTGAGCTGGGAGCTGAGCTCTGTTAGGACGGGGTCTGGCACACTCCTGGGACACTCTGAGAGCTAATTTGGTGTGTGTGCAGAATTCTGCAGTGCTCCAGACACCACTGTGACCTGTTGTTCTGAAAACAGGGGGAAAATAATGTTTTAAGGGATTGTTTCGGGTTGAAGAAGGAATTTGTAACCTCTGGGCACCTTCCCCACAAATTGGCCTTGGGATGTTAAGCAGTAATGAGTGAATTCTTTCAACTTCAGGATCTCTCTCCAAACCAGAGTTAGTTTTAGTGCTACAGGTGCAACTGTACCTTAGAGAGCAGTTATTTTTACTATTCTCAGAATATAGAAAAAAAAATAAAATAATTAACTTTTTAAGCTGCTAATTTCCCCCCCAATTCTTTGCTGCATATAAGGAGTATTTAAATTTATAACACAACACCTCTGAGTGACATAAATATCCTGGTGAAGCTGTAGTAAATGGTTTGAGACTGTGTCCTCCTCCTGCTCCTCTGCAAGCTCTGGAGACCAGTTTGTCAGTCATATATTCATATCTTTAATCCAGCTCTTTAAGCACATTTCTTCCTCCTTTCTCTCAAAACTCGTCATGCAGGAGGGATATTTTAACAATGGACTGCAGAGAAGTACCTGTGGACAAATGGATGATATTCACTGAATGGGAAAATCTTCAATTGGGAATGTCTTCAAATGGGAACTAATTTTTTTTTTTTTTTTAAATGGAAAAGCTTTCAATTCATGTGCTGCTCATTCAGTGCAGTGGAACAGCATCCCTCAAACAGGGATTATCCCTGGGCCTTTGGCAGTATCAGTGTTATCCAGGCCCAGGAAAGGCTGAAGAGTAAAGAGGGAGGGAAAATAAGAAAATAAGAAATACAGGCACAATAAAAAGTAGATGTAGATAGAAGCAACACTAAGGATGGAGAGTTGGAGCTGGGATGTGGCTCAGAGATGACAATACCTACTTTTAGGGCTGTATTTGTGAGTGTCTCACGTGTGTTCCATGTTTGCATTCCCATCAGCAGAGATCTAGTCCGTGAACAGAGCCCATCAAGGCACTGAGCTCATCCTGCAGGCAGCAGTTACCTTGGAAGAGAAATGGGTTTTTCCGTTTTTCAGAGGGATTGTGTGAATGAGAAATGTAGGACTGAGCAGGCAGGGAGCTGCCCAGATCCTGCACATGAAGGAATCATGTATTCCCAGTCCCTGAGGGAACTATGTGACCTTCTACAGCCCTGCAGCCCTGTCTAAGCATCCTCTGGTGATGTGTGCATGCCCAAACTGAAGCTTTCCTGAGCCCCTGGACTCGGTCCAGCTGCTTTATCTTTGTAAAAGGGAAAGCTGAATAACTCCATGCCCATTTGTCAAATTTGGTTGAAGCTGATTAAGATGTTCAGAGCTATTATGGGAAGGGATTGACTGGCAGTACCCTCACACAGAGTTCATTTCCCTCATAATCCAGGCTGAAAATGAGTAACGCAGCCCAAAAAATGTGGAACAGGGCAAGAGGGGCAGGGTCTGCAGCTCAGAGATCCCATTGCCTCAGAAGCCCTGAAATTAAGGCAAGAAAATGAAATGGGGTTGGAATGAAATGACCTTTAAGGTCCTTCTTGACTCAAACCATTCCACAACTGTGTGTTTTCCAAGGAAAACTCCCCCTCTGCAGAGGGCTTGTACCACCACTGTTGGGATAACTCCTGGCTTGCACTGGAGTTTTAAGGATCTAAACACTGCCTTGGACTTTGCCTGAGCACAACCCCTGTAAAGTTCCGACACATGTGGGTCTCTCCATCCCCATTCTCAGATGAATGTTGATTTTTAGAGAGAAAATAAAAAAGGTTTGCCTCAAACCTGAGCAGATGTTGGTGCTGTGCTGGGAAGAACTAGAAAAAAGAAGAGAAGGAGGCTGTGGAACGTGTCCAAGAGATGTTAAAAATCTTTCAGGCATGATTGGGTTTTCTTCCTCTAAAAGGTTGCGGCTCTGTCCAAAAGAAGTGAAAGATGGGGTTATTTTTTTCCTGTAACTCAGGAATTCACTATGAGCTAATAAAGAGAAGCCATAGCTTCACCTGATAGACTGTGCGTTTCCTGCTCTGCTTGAGTTTACATCTAAGACAGCTTTATCTTGATTATTTACCTGTTTACCCCAGTGATTTATCTGTTAGTCTGGAATGAACTGAACTGTTGTGCACAGTTTGGTGTGGAATCACACAATTGTCTCCTTACAGGCATGGCTGAGGGGTGCCCAGGGCTGGCTGATATTGATAGATCACGTTTCATGTGAATTATTTGTCAATGGGGGGTTTGGATGAGGTAAAAAAAGGAGCCTGTTCCTATGTAAACCTGGCTGCCTGGAGGCAAAAATCCCTACCTCACAGAGCTCGTTGAGCAACGTGGGATTCCAGTCCTTGCTCTCCTGTTGGATCCCTGAACCTGTTTCCTCTGGATCTGCAGGAACGAGTTCCGGCCCTGGATAGACGTGAAGCCCGTGAAAGCGATACGAGCCAAGCCCCAGTACAAACCACCAGAGGAGAAAATGATCCACGAAACCAGTTACAGCGCCCAGTTCAAGGGGGAAACCAGCAAGCCTTCTCCAGCTGACAACAAATACCTGGAGCGCAGGAGGATACGCACCCTCTACAGCGAGCCCTACAAAGAACCTCCCAAGGTGAGGGACCCGGGGTGGGGGGGACACGTCCAACCCACAGGGCAGGGCTGGACTCTGCTGCCTTCAGTCCCCTTCCTTCTGACCAGTTGGGGATCCACCTTGGAGCTGGTGGTGAAGGGAAAACTAAACGTGTCCTGTCCGTGTGCTCTGGCAGCCCAGAAACCCCCCCTGCCCCGTGCCCTGGGCTGGTCCCACAGCGTGGGCAGCAGGGAAAGGGGGATTTAACCCTCTGGCCCCTTCAGTGGGGGCAGAGCTGCCTCCAGCCCTGGGGAACAACAGCACAAAGACCTGGAGCTGCTGGAGAGAGTCCAGAGGAGGCCACAGAGCTGCTCCCAGGGCTGGAGCCCCTCTGCTCTGGAACAGGCTGGGAGAGCTGGGGGTGCTCACATGGAGAAGAGAAGGATCCAGCGAGCCTTGAGAGCCCCTTCCAGGGTCTAAAGGGGCTCCAGGAGAGCTGGAGAGGGACTTGGGACAAAGGGGAATGGCTTTCCACTGCCAGAGGGCAGGGATAGATGGGGTATTGGTAAGGAATTGTTGGCTGTGAGGGTGGGCACAGGTTGCCCAGAGAAGCTGTGTCTGCCCCTGGATCCCTGGAAGTGTCCAAGAGCAGGTTGGATGGGGCTTGGAGCAATCTGGGATAGTGGAAGGTGTCCCTGCCCATGGCAGGGAGTTGCAAATAGATGGTCTTTAGGGAGTCTTTTAACCCAAACCATCCTATAATTCTAAGGGCTCTAGAACAGCTTGGTGCACTTTGGAGACAGTAGTGCCCTGTGTCAAACTGAGGAGTGAGGGCAGGGCCCAAATGAAGAGGGTTTTGTGTTGTCATTTCCCACATGATTACCTAGGCAGCTTTCTGTTTCTCCCCCTAAAACTGTAGGAACTCCATGTTACTGTTTTTCTGAGGAACAGCATGGTAAGAGCCAGATCTTCATCTGCAGTTAATTCAGAGCGCTGCTCTGGTTTTGACAATACCCACTTCTGGCTTTGATCAGATCCAGGGCATGTGTGGGGAAGGGCCTGAGCTGAAATGTCTTCCAGCCTTGGTAGATCTACATTTGAAAGGAGTCTGTGCAGTTTTAAACCCAGGACCATTAGTCCTTCCCAGAGTTCAGGAGCGCTTGGATCTGTGAGGACTCCGAGGGGTGGCAGGGCAGGCATGGAGGAGCTAAAGGCTTCTGTTCCTCCTTAATTCTGTAGCTGTTCTTCCTATTTTGGGGGCTGTAGAAACAAGACACTGTTGTGCACTTTTCTCCAGGTGCCAGTCAGTGTCCTGTGCCCCAGGTATCCCCAAGAAACTTTCCTCTGTTGTGGGAATCTGTTAAGAATAAACAGAGAGAGGAGGGGTGGGGATTTGTAGCAGCCTCTTTGTCCTGAGCATCATTTCTCTGCTTCCAATCCAGAGAGAGAGACAATCCCCTGTGGGCTTGCAAGGCCCCTCCTGAAGTCAGAGAAAGATGGAGGAATTGCTAAAATGCCTGATAATATTCCCTCTCCTATTCATCCTGCTGTGTCCTGATCTGGATACAGCAGGCTCTGCTGGCTCCAGGGGCACTGTGACTTCAGGACATCAGCAAAGGAGCTGGCCATTTGCAACCCAGCATGAGCCCAGCTGCTCCCCTCCTTCATGGCAGGGCAGAACTGAGCAGATAAGGAACATTTGTGCTGTTTCTGATCTAAATCCTGTTTTCCACCTGTCCTTGTGTCTCTCTGTCTCTGTCTCTGTCTCTCTCTCTCCTTGTCTGTTGTCGTTTTGCCTGTCCTCCATGCAGGTGGAAAAGCCTAGCATAAAGCCTTCCAAACCAAAAAAGACCACAACAAGCCATAAACCCCTGAAAAAGGCCAAAGACAAGCAGATTGCATCTGGCCGGGCTGCCAAGAAAAAGAGCGCCGAGACCTCCAACACAGCAAAGCCAGAGGACAAGGAGAAAAGTAAAGAGATGAACAATAAACTGGCTGAGGCAAAAGAGTAAATGTCACTGCACTTTCCTTTCTTACTCATTTTTTTTTCCTTCTCTTTCTTTTTTTTCCTTCTTCCCCCCCCCCTTGATTAAATAAAGGCCACAAAATTAATTAGAGGCTTCTAATCTGCTTTTTGTTCTGATTGTATTAGAAGCTTTTCTGTTTTATTTCCAAGGAGGATTAGGGAATCCTTGTTTCTGAGGTCAGGTTGTTCTGCTTTGCCTGCACAACACGGCTCTGCACAGAGTGAGGGACGTGGGAATGCACGAGCAGGGGCGTAGGAGGTGAAGGTGATGGATCATGGTTACATCCAACAGCCTGGCCCTTTCTTGGGCTGGTCCTTCAGGGCTTTGCCAGCATGAAAGTGCCCGTGGAGCCATGGAAGGGCTGTGCTCTCATCCCAGGAGGCCCTTTTGGGTTGGCCCTTGTTGGGCCATCTCCCACTGGTGCCAGCGGGTGAAGGATTTTGGAGGCAGAGAGGATCAGGTTCATTCATGGTGTGTGGATCTGCTGGGAATCCACCAGAATCAGTGGTGTGGCCAAGAGTGATTCCCCCTGGTGACACTGGTGGGATTTCTGCTCCAAGAAGCAACGGGAAAGGAGATCCCGTGGAAATAAAGGGTCAGATCCTCCCCCAGGGTAGCTGGGGGTAGGTCCAGCTGCATCAAGGCAGCTTCACCCTCAACACCACTTGAAGTCCTTGATTTTAAATAAAAAAAATGAGTGAGGGAGGGCGCAGAGAGCAGTGAAGACTTTCCAAGCACGTGGCAGGTTAGACGGGGTTATCAGCAGGTTGTTCTTCCCTATTGTTTCCCCCAGGTTGTGGATCTTTTCAGTTAGTCCCGGTTTGGTTTGAATCTTGGTCTGCTTTCTTCACTTCTGGGGTGCCAGTAGGCAGAGTTGGGTTTCAGAAAGAGGTTTGGTTTGCAAGTGTGACCTTCCAAGAGGTAGAAAGAAACGTGTCGGCAAAGTCGGCTGGAGCTGTGCTGTTGGCCCCTGCTGTGCTGATCCTTCCAGCTGCTGGGGTTCATGTTGGCTCATAAGCATCCCAAGAGGGCCACAGAAAAGATGCTGGGATCCCTAGACTCCCTCCAGGCAAGATCTCAGGGTTCCAATCCTATTTTTACTGTGCCCTTACTCTGGGAAAATCCCCAGGCCTGGTTTGGAAGCTCTAAACACGGCAGGACCTTTTGTCAGCAGCGTGACCTGGCCCAACAGACTGGCACTGCACCCCCCAGAATCTGAGTCACTGCATCAGTGGCAGCTGGGACAGTTGTGGTCCCCATCCAAATTTATTGTGCCTATATCCTGGATTGGGTCCTGAATACATAAGGATTTATCTTGACCCCACCAAACTGAGCTGTTAAAGTTTCCCGTAGCAGAGAGGCCTCAAGTCGAAGTGCAGGATTCTCATTATTTATTTTGGTAGCCCCAAATTTTCTCTCCTAACATGAAGTCCAGGGTGAAACTTTCAGAGAACAATTGGGAAGGACGAAGAGAGAGGTGGGAGGTAGGGTAGGGAGGCGGTGTGTTGCTGTGGAGGTGTTGGGGTGAGGAAAGTCTCACTGCTGAGGGCGTTTTAGGGACGTGAAACAGAACAGAGAAAAGGGACGTGTGGGGAGGATGAGGAGCCCCACTTTTGGGCTCTCACCCCATTAGGATCGGGGGTTTTTTTGGAAACAAAAATGAGTGGTGGGCTACAAGGCTGAGGGGGAGTTTCCAAAGGGGAGGGAAGCTCTGTGACGTAGAGATAGTGAGGTTTGCTGGCCTTAGTGCTGAGTAACAGCCACGTTCAGTGTGTCGTGTGACGTGTCCTGTTTGCCTTGCTGACAGCCTAAACCTTCGAGTAGCAGTGAGTGTAGTGTTCTGAACCCAGTGGTGTATTTCCAAGCTTTAGCTGTGTTAGAACTGTGTGCTATGAGCTAGTCAGGTCGTGTCTGTGGAAAATATATATTCATATATAGAAATATATATATATATTTAAACCTCCGCTGTTTGGGAGGAAACCAGGGAAAATCCTCCAGGAAGTAAAACTGTGGAAGTCTTTGTGAATGTAGTGCTTTTTTTTTTGCCTTTTTTTTTTTTTTTTTTTTTTTTTTTTTTTTTTTTTTTTTTTTTTTTTTTTTTAATTTTGATGTGCATGCCCTCATGGAGATGCTGACCTGTTGCATACTGACCATTGCTTTTCTGAGTGCTCAGAAGCCCCTGCAGCAGCTCAGCTCTGTCTCCAGCACTGAGCTGGGGGGGAGAGGGGTGTGCTCACAGCTCTTCCCACCCACAAGGGACAACTGGCCAGAGAAGATGAGCTCCCCAAGGCTTGGTGTGATTTTAAAGTGCTTCGTGCATCTTCCTGCTCCTCAGCAGCGTCCTCTGCTGTGGTAGGATGTGGCACCAGCCCTGCAGTTGATGTGTCACAGCAGGCAGGGAGACACTAGACAGTTCCCAATAGCCCAACAAACACACCAGTCTGACAGAGGGACAGACCACACCAAAAATTATTTTTTGGCCCTGAGTTTCACGTTGATAGAGACACACTGACGCTTGCCACTGCTTCACCTTGAATTCAGGGGGAATGTGGCCCTTGACTTCAAGGTTAACTACATTTTGCCCGAGGAACATCATTAGGATGCTCAGACCACCTAATCAAAGCATCTCCATGACCCTGGGTCAACTGCTGAACATGCATCAGCTCCAGGATTGCTCCTTCTCAGTGAAGAGCATCCATCCCAGTGGCTGAGTGAAATGTGCACAGTGAGTGGTCACAATGTGGCTTTGTGTGAAGTTTTTTGGTGGCAGAGGGTCTAGGTGGTCTTTTAAGGCCCTTCTAACCCAAACCATTCCATGAGCTCAGTACAAAGCCAGGTATGAAGTGTTAGCCAGGGGTCCAGATTCCCACTCTAGGAAGGAACTTCCCAAGGGCCGTCAAGCCACCTATTTTGGCCACCTCTCTTTTGGGTGGGATGAATGGCCCTTGGAAGGTTTTTTTTCTGGGAGACTGGTATGGCCTGGAGACACCCTCCCCCCCCTTTCAACAGCAACAAAACTGGGATAGACATCCTTGGGCTGTGCTCCATGTGCAGCAGGTCTCAGCATGCATCCAACACCCCCCGCCCAGCACACAGTTAGCACTGCACTGAACGCCAGGAAATGCAGCAGAGTCGAGCCTCAGGGGGAAATCCTGCATACTCTGCCCTCCCCAGACTCTGTGCCCATCCAACCCACTCAGGTTTATCAGAAAGGAGACCAAATCTCTGCCGCTCCAAGTTCACTCTGGGCTCTGAGCTTGTCGATCCCACTGGGAAACCGCTCTGCTGTTGCGTGTTTGCAGCTCCCACGATGCTGATCTGTGATTATGTTCTGCTTTCCTTTGTAAAAAGAAAAGAAAAAAAAAATGTTTTGCTTTTTACCCTGTGAGAGTTCCTGTGCTGTCTGTTGCTTGCTTTTGCATTTTCACTGTATTGTACTGTTACTCCTTTCTGCAAAATGGTGCTAATTGCTGACTGAGCTCCTGTTTCTCTTGACGCTTCGCACACCAATCGCCTGCTTCTCCATTTGCCCGGTGCCCAGACCCGGCACCCGTGAATTCCACAAAACTCTCGCCTCTTGGAGGCAGATAGGAAGTGTCTAATTAATATTTTGTGGCCTGGGTTCGGTTGCATATCACGGATTGTCTCTTGTAAACATGTTGAGCACAACTTCCTCGTGGTGCTTTCTCCTTGTTGCTGTTCTGATGAGAGTCACACACACACACACACACACACACACACACACACACAAATTAATGTATAGCCAATTGATTGTGACGTGCTTGTGATCTTTGCTTGCTCAAAGGGTTCTTTTTCCAATGATAAATAAATGCTGAAGACGAATATCACCTCCTGGAGCTTGTTTTCTCGACAAGAAGCACAGTTTAGTGAAAGAAACGCCCTTCCAACTGAAATCAGGCTTGTGTTGTTAGAACTGCCCCTTCCACGCCTGCCCTAGGCACAGCCTGACTCCCTTTAGGTGGCTGCTGACCCCAGACTATCCCGGAGCACTCTGAGGGCAGTGAAGTTGTGTGGTTGGAGCAGGTTTGCCTTTATTTTCCATATGAGATGTCTGTGAGCAGAGGATCTGTGCAGTGAGAACCCTGATGAGCCCTCCTGTGCCCACCTTCACTGGCTCAGGGAGTAGAGACCAAAGCCCCTGGAGAGCTGGAGGGAGGGGATGTGATGTGGATGAGGTGACTCGATTACAAACCCTTTCCCAATGTTAATCACACTGTTCCAAATGCCTCCAGCTTTGCTTTTCTCCCAAAACCAAGGCTGAGCAACCTGGTCTAGTGGGAGGTGTCCCTGCCCATGGCAGGGGGTTGGAATGAGATGAGGTTTAAGGTCCCTTCCAATCCAAACCATTCTGGGACTCTGTGGAAACCACCTGAAAAGCCCCTGAGGGGTCAAGGGGCTGTAAATCCTCACTGAAAGGAGGTGGCAAGTTCTTGGGCTGAGCACTTTGAGAGCCCGTGGAAATGCAAAGCCCTGATTTCATATTAATGAAAGTGTTGGATATCTGGAGAAAATGGTGGTTGTGAAAAAGCAGGGCTGGGGGCACAGTTTTATTTTAAATGGTGACCCTAATATTTTTTCTTTTAATTAGCCTGCAATTTTGATTTTTCATCATGTTTTCTCTTTTAATGGACCCTCCAATAAAATCCCCACCAACCTGAAGAAAACTATTGCATTTTTGAGCAACCTGGTCTAGTGGAAAGTGTCCCACGGTAGGGAGTTTGCAATTAGATGGTCTTAAAGGTCTATGACTCTGAAATCCTCTCCTCCACCACAGCTCTGTTACCTCCATGGAGCACCAACCCTTTTCTGCCTTACTGCTGCTGGGGGCTATTTCACATCCCTGCCTGGTTTACAGAGCACTGCCTGAATTTATTCCATCTGTGACCACCAGTGCTGCTTTCTGATGTCCTGCTGTACCACCCTGCCTTCCCTGTCCCTTCCCCACCAGCTCCATCCATCCATCAGCCACACACACCTGATCTCTGCAGTGTTTCAGCGGGGCTGTAGCTCAGGGGATTTATCATTTCACCCTCCACTGCTGGTCCTGGAGAAAATGTTCATTTTTAAAAGATTTGTCATTATCTGTGACAATCCACAATGGCCATCAAAATGTTTCTCCCCTAACACAAAGGTCCAGGGGCTTTTTCCATGCTGCAGCACAGATGGGGACCCCACCTGCTCCCACCCTAATGGTCACTGTTGGGGTCTGGGGGAGGGTACAAGGAGGGGGGAGAATAACTGGAATTTAAAGAGTCAAAAGTCTTCTTCTTGAACTCTTAGAGGTGTTTTCCAGCCTAAATGATGCTGTGATCTGAGCGTGGCTTTGCAGAGGTGTCACCCTGCCTGCCCTGAGCAGCCCCACCAGGAGTGGCCTCCATCCTTCCAGCGTTGATGAGCTGCTTTTAAATACCTCATGTGCACACCTGGGACCCTTGTGCATGGGTGCATGAGGAAGTTCTCCCTCGATACTCCCCATCCTTCCATTCCAGCCTGGGCACAGGACTGAGATTTATCAGTGTTGACACTTCCAAATCTCTGAGCTTCCTCTGAAAACCTCAGTGATCATTTATTACGTCCCTGGCTGGTAAAAGGATGAGTGCAGATGTTCCATCAGCTGACATGTCAGCCCTTGTACGAATGCAGCCTCTTTGTGTGTCATAATATTCTTTGGATTTAGGGTTTATTTGAAGATGTGCCAGTGCAGGAGAGAAAGGGACCTTTTAAGAAGATGCCTCTGTCATAAGTTGTATCTCCCAACATCCAAGGAATAACTGCCATCCCCAAGAGTGGTATCAGCTCCAGAAGAGGAGCCATGCAGGAAGAAGAAGTCCTCTAGTATGAACAGGAGGATATGGATGTGCTCAGCTCTAAGAACAGTATCTTTTCCACAGCTGGGAAATACTGTGATGTTCAGACATGGGCTTCAGCTCTGCCTGGTTCCAGCAGTGCCACGGTAAGTTGATCCAGTCAGGGAATTGTCCTGCTGCACGTGAGCTTTCTGGGTGGGGAGCAATCCCACCAAAGCCACTGGGGGGTGTGGGATGGGGGGTGAGAGAGCTCTGAGCACCTCAGGACTGCTGGTCTGTCAGGAACTCTGAGCTGCTAGTGAACACTTCATTTCTGTTGCAGGGTCCCTTGGGAACAGCTCCCTAATCCTAAATGTCCTGTGGAGAAGATGTGAGCAAAGGAAAAAAGAAAATCCTGCTAATGGGTTGAAGGCATCTTTCTGCTTCCTAAAAGACCAGCTCTCCCTGAAGGCAGTCTGCTCCAGGGAAGCCAAGGACCAGACACCGGGAAAATGATGGATGAGGAGCAGTGACAGACCTTAGTGACGTGTGAGAGCCCTGAGGAATGATAACTGTGCCTTCAGTGTGTTCAGCGGTGTGTGAGATGGAAGGGGAAGCATTTCTGACCCCTCCCTGTTGTCCCCTGCCCACCCTAACCCAGCTTGTGGCATGCAGCAGCCCCAAACCCCTGAGCAAAGCTGGGTCTTCTCTGTCTTCCTTGGGAGACCTGCATGTCCTGCCTGGCTCTGGAAGAGGTCTGGGGAGCTGGGTCACAGCAGAGGGTGAGGAGCACCAAGTGTGGCACAGGGTGGAGGAGATACCACCACACAGTGGGTGGCCGATGGGTCTGTCTTTATCAGTTAAACAGCACCCAGGAGAACCTGGTGGTGCCAGGAGCAGATGGTCAGCATAGAGAAATCCTGAGAGTAGCCCCTGGCCTTTGGACTGAGCTCCTTGGGCTGGTTCAGGATTTAGGACCCACCTGAGACAAGCTCAGCTGTGGCCACCTTGTTTGGAGCCAAGGGATTTGCCCAGAGAAGCTGTGACTGCCCCTGGATCCCTGGAAGTGTCCAAGGCCAGGTTGGACGGGCCTTGGAGCAAGTTGGGATAGTGAGAGGTGTCCCTGCCCATGGCAGGGGGGTTGGATGTTCTCAAAATCCTTCCAGACCATTGTGTTGTTCTGTGATTTGTCAGCAGGGACACGAGCAAGGCACCTTTGATTTCGTGACACAGGTCATGCTTTGGAGCCACAGGACACTGAATGTCCCTGCCCTGCTTGCCCCTTCTCCCCCCCCCTGCCCAAGTTCCACTGCTGATCACACACCTGAGTCCCTGTTGGCTCCTGCCCCTGCTGTGCCCTCACCCCTGTCACATCCCATGTGCACACCACGGTGCTGTTCCTTCTTGCCTTCAAAATCATTTCCCCTCCCTCCTCCCTGCCTGTCTGTCCCACAACTGCTTCTTCAACCCTTTGCTTTCTCCTCCAAGCCCCTTTCTCCTCCACACCATCCCGAATTCCCAGCTCCACCAGGGACCTTGTCCTTCCCATTCCCCCCAGTGAGTGTCTCGTGTGCTGTCTCCTGGACTGTGAGTCTTTCTCTCTGCCTGTACTGTGTGATCTCACTCACTGCCTGGAATAAACAATACCTCACTCACCAACCGCCCCTTCTCTCTCTCTTTTCTTGGTGTGGCTTCACTGGCTGTGTCTGCAAGTGCATCGTGTGCCTGTCCCTGTGGCCACTGGAGCAGTTGTTCTCACTGCTGCCTCTCTCCCTACAGTCCTTTGGTGTGACTCTGCTTGTGCTCTTGTCCTCTGGTGCCTTTGTTTCTCTCTTTTACAGCCCCAGGGATGAGCTCTGCTGGCAGCGCAGGAGCCTGACACACTCAGAGCTGCAGCACCTCCTGTCCCTTGCCATCCCGGTGCATCTGATAAAGAGGTTGGCCTCCCTCCAGCTCCCTGCAGAGGTGTCCTGTGCTGCCAGGTGGCTCAACAAATGCAGCAGGCGAGGAGAGTGAAAGAGAAATCTGGTAGCCCAGAGCAGAAGCAGCTGATGGTGAAGGAACGTCACTGCTCTGGGACAGAAAACAGTGGGCACAAATGTGTCAGTGCAAGCCCAAGCAGGACACGCAGCAGAAGCTGGTTTGGCATGTTCCAGAGATGGATGCCCAGGAGGTTTCTTGTGGCTCAGAAGGTGCCCTGAACATTTGCTTCCTCCATCCCAGGCTAGGACTGGATGTGCCACGGAGGTCCCCAGCTGACCTTGGGGGTCCACTGGAGTCTTCTGACATCTAGATTTGTGCCAGCAGAGCTCTTGAAGAGCTTCTCTATCTGCTGCTCTGCAGGCAGACCTTGGTTTGAACTCTGAAGGGCCGAGCTCCTTGTTGCTCACCTCACACCTACAATCAGCTCAGGGCTCACAACCAGGTACCTTCTCCTCCTTCAGACCTTGCTGGCCCCAAACTGGTGCAGATTTCCAGGTCTCACCCAAGCTGTGCAATGACAGCACCCCTTTCTGGCTGCTGAGGTGCAGAGCAAGGCTGGAATGCTGCCTTGCACCCTCCCAGCTCACTCTTCCCAAGGCTGTACCTGGGGCCAGACCTCTCTGTGCAGCGCTGCAGAGAGCAGCCAGGGCTGCTCCTGCTCTGCATCCTCTGGTGGCCCTGCAGAAAATCATGGAATCACCTCCCCCTCACACTCCTTCCAGTTTGGAATGAGCTTTACTGGCACAGACAGTCACACAATTTGTCTGTATTCAATGCTTCAGAGTGGATTTTTTGCCTTCAAAGCTCTATTCTGAAATGCAGGGCAGCAGCAAGTGCAGGGATGGACACCAAGGGAGAGGTGCTGGCTCCCCTGGATCCTGTTGAGCCTGGATCATCACATACACACCGGCACAGGGCAGCTTGAGCATCTTCCCCTAATCCTCTGATTTATGGTGCTGGGTTCCCCTCAGTCCCACAGGAACTGGAAGACTGAAAGAACTCAGCACATTTCCTACCAACCTCTGCCAAACAGCTTCTGGCAGCAAAGGGCTCCTCGTGGTCAGCACACAGGGCAGGGTGGGGGTGAGTATCTGAGGGAGAGCTGTCCTGCCAGGGTTCTCCACATGGTCCTGCCCCACGAGCCTCTCCTGCAGGGATGGTTGGACTCCTGTGTCTGGCTGGGCTGGTTTCATGGGCCGAGGAGATGGTCACCAGGCACTGCCCTCCTGCCATGGTGTCAGCACCTCTTTCCCTCCTATGACCATTCCCTGCACAACAACAGCGTCAGGCTAGGGGGTGAATGGGCATCTCCACAGCCCCTTGATGTAACCACCGTGTAAAGCTGCCTATTTTAAAGCCAAGCAGGTTTCTCCTGCCTCTCCATCTGCTTTCTGCCTTCCTGCAGCCTCACAGATCCCTCCCCATCCATCACACCTCTCATCCCTGCAGATCCTCCTCCTCCTCCTTCCTAATGAAGATGGATTCCCTCGTTCCCCGCAGCTCTTTCCTTCTCCCTCCCTCCCTCTGCGCTTCCACAAGACCCAACCTTTCCTCCAGCACCTCGGATACAGGGCTGGCTCCAGAGCTGATCCCATCAGGCATCCAGTGCCTGGATGGATCCATCCTCACCCCCTGGTGTCTCCTGGGGGCATGGAAGAGGAGGGGTGCTCTCAGTCCGGGGTTTAGGATATGTGAGCCAGGCTAGTTTTCCTGCTGGTTGTTTTGAGAGGAGCCAGGTCCTTCCTGAGCAGCACAAGAACTCGGCTCCCCTGGGACGGGGCTCCCACCACCCACCTTGAGGGGAACAAGCTGCTGCTTTGGGAGGTACTTGTACAGCGAGTTCCGTGCAGGTTATAATCAATTGGCGAGCACCTCCTTGTAGCTGATGGTGGGCGTGGTCCTGCTCACAGCTCAAACGAGGGCTGCTCAAAGGGTCCAGAGCCCCAGCCCTCCCACTTCTGTGCACATCCATGGGTTTTGGAGCAGCTCCTTGCAGGGCCCGGGACCAGACTCACCAGGCAGCCTGAGGACACACCAAACACGTGCTTGGGGGGCACTGCAGGGTCCCCTGGGCATGGGGCAAAGCCCAGCCCCGGGGTGGCAGCATGTCCTCATGCACCAGCTGACTGCTCTGACAGCTTTGCAATGATGCTCTTTCTCTGCTTCCAGGATCCCTGAGAAAAACCCTGGTGCTACAGAGCAAGAGCCAAGTACCTTAGTGCAGGAGCAACCCCTGTGAAGTCGGGGACTCGTCTGAGCAGCTGCTGGAGCGCACGTATAGTCTGCATGAAACGTGTACGGTCTGGTGGCCTCCAATAAAGCCCATGAGCAGAGCTCGGTGACACCTCCCCTTGTCTCTCAAGCTCGTGGAGTTACGTCACCGGGACCTGTGTGATGAAGTTTAGCATGTGTGTGCCTGGATGTAAGTACAGTAAAGTCAGAGAAAGAAAAATGGGTCCGGTTCTCCTTTTCTTTGTGGCTGTGGAACAGCACTTGGGTCTCTTACTGATATCTAATCTAAATCTACTCTCCTTCAGTTTGTACTCACTCCCCCTTGTCCTGTCACTCCAGTTCCTGTTGGGCAGCCCCACTCTGGTTTCCCTGTAGCCCCTTCAGAACCTGGAAGGTGCTGTGAGGTCTCCACACAACCTTCCCTCCTCCAGGGTGAACAGTCCCAACTTTCTCAGCCTGTCTCCATAGGGGAGGTGCCCCAGTCCCCTTACCAAACGGTGGACAAGACACCAAAACTTGCTGGTAAATCCGTATTTCTTATCAGCATATTTTCTAAGGGGAAAAAAAAAAGTTTAACAGAAAAATTGTGAAGTACCAACTGGAATTGCTGTAGGAAAAGTTTAGCTGGCTCATGGTTGTTCTGTATGCCCATATTTTCTGGGTGAGGCTCCCCGTGTCCATGAGGGTCTGCTTTGCTGGGTCTAGTTCGTAAGAAAACTGCCTTGGGGTGGGAGAAGTCATTCAAGTATTTCAAAGTGAAAATGCCAGTCCATAATATGGCTCCTCCTCCAAAGGGCTCCTCCTACACAGCCCCCTGTTCTCTGCAGGAGTTATTCCAGGTTATTCCAGTTATTCCAGGACCACCTTTAGAAGGAGTGGATGATTTAGGAGATCCAATCTCCTTCACCTGTAGTGGTTATTTCTATTAATCCTGTACCCCTGCCAAGGCACCCCCTGATGGCCAAAATCCCAAGAGCTGTAGAGACACAGGACAAAGACACCCACCCAGAAGGATCTTGAAGGAAAATCAGGAACCTAAAATTGCCTCCAGCTCCCAGTGTTCACATCGTGTTGAATCCCCTCTGGTAACAGGAAGGTTGGAAAGAACCTCCTTGTTAAGGGGATAAAACACAGAGGAATATTTGTCAAGATGTGTGGCTTGTACAAGGCAAGAAGAAATTGGAGTGAATCCAATCACTGAACCATTGCAAAGCACCTCTGAGAAGATGTGAATAGTAACTAATGAACTGCTCAGTGCAAAGGCTGGAGATTACATGCCTGTGAATAATTGCCTGGCTCGGTAGCTGAAGGGTCCTTGTTACACGTGATTAAGTAATTAACTTTTTTT